GGGATGATTGAGTTGGGATTGGTCCTGCTTTGGCCAGGGGCTGGACTTGATGACTCCTGAGGTCTCTTCCAGTCCCACGAGTCTATGAGTCTAGAATCACTGGTCTGAATTAAAGAGATTTTATCCAATAGGAGAAGAGAAAGGCTACGTCTACACAGAACTGTTATTTCAGAATAACAAAGTGTGCATCTACACTCAAGCAGTTATTTCGACATATCGTTGAAATAATGTCCAGCCGGAGGACGTCTTATTCCGACTCCCGTAACCCTCATTGTACCAGTAGTAAGAGAAGTCGGAGGAAGAGTGCTCAGTTATGAAATAAGTGCTGCGTAGACGTGTCCAAATTCAAAATAAGCTCTTTTGACCTACGCTAGGCAATGACCGTAGCTGAAGTTGCGTAGCTTATTTCAAATTTCGCCCTGCTAAAATAGAGTGAGAAGATAAGATTTGATACATGGTGGCAGGAGGACTCATCCCAGATGTAACGGCCCCATCCTCTGCTTCAATATGTGTTGAATTAATTATTCATAATGACACAGCTTCGGCAGGACAGACTAAGGGAACACCACTGCAGACTGCTCGTGGTCCCATCCGAATGGGGCATATGTGACCCCCAACGGGGCATAGAATCTGGGATTTAGGTGTCTATGGTAGGTAGACACTTGAGTTCTTTTGTGTATCCACCATATTGCGTCAATGTATACCCACAAATTCCAGCCAGCTCTCTCTACGTTAAATCTGCTTAAAATGTTCCTTTCACACAACCAGCCTCGATTTGCGTTCACCTTACTGAGCAGATAAAATCCCCACTGGTCTTTTCAATTGAATGTGAACGTTCCTGCTCATTTCTGTGAATTGGTTTTTCAGCTCTTACAGGTCCGAGCCTTGGGTGGAAATATCGATGGAAAACCAAACCACACTGACCGAATTTGTTCTCCTGGGACTGTCCAGTGACCCGCTGGTGCAGATTTTCCTCTTCCTGGTGTTTTTCGTGATTTACCTTTTCACCCTGCTTACAAATGGCCTCGTCATGCTGACGATCCAAGCTGATTTTCACCTCCATACCCCTATGTATTTCTTCCTCCTCCAGCTGTCCTTGGTGGATACCTGTTATTCCTCAGTCACGGTGCCCACACTGTTGTTAAACCTCCTGTCGGAGCACAAAACCATTTCTGTCTGCGGCTGCATTGCTCAGATGTTCTGTATCCACCTCTCGGCCGGTGCAGAAGTGTTCACTCTCTCGGCCATGGCGTACGACCGTTACGCGGCCATCTGTGACCCGTTGCGTTACGCGGAGACCATGAAGAAAGGCATCTGTGTTCTGCTGGGGGCTGGTGCTTGGTCCATGGGCTTCTTCAATGGCCTGATCAACACCGTTTTTGCCCTCGCGGCCATGGCGTACGACCGTTACGCGGCCATCTGTGACCCGTTGCGTTACGCGGAGATCATGAAGAAAGGCATCTGTGTTCTGCTGGGGGCTGGTGCTTGGTCCATGGGCTTTTTATATGGCCTGATCAACACCGTTTTTGCCCTCCAGTTGCATTTCTGTGGCAACAATCAAATCCACCATTTCACTTGCGAGTTCCCTCCACTGTTACAACTGTCCTGCACCTCGCCCCTCAGGAAGCAGCTGGTGCTTCTCATTCCTGCGCTTGCGTTCGGACTCAGCTCCTTCCTCCTCATCCTCATCTCCTACGTGCATATCATCTCCACCGTCCTGCGGATGCGCTCTGTGGAGGGCCGGCGGAAAGCCTTCTCTACCTGCAGCTCCCACCTGACTGTGGTTGGCTTGTTCTACGTGACTGGTTTTATCCAATACACCAAACCCAGCTCCGTGTCCTCTGTGGTTCTGGAGGAAATGGTCTCCATCCAGTACAGCATCCTGACTCCCCTGTTAAACCCCGTCATCTACAGCCTGCAAAACAAGGAGATAAAAACAGCTCTGAGGAAAATATTGGGGAAACTCAGGTTCAGGTCTGGTGTTTAGGACATTCCCAGCGCTGGTGTCAGGGAACTTGGACCAAAATCCTCCCAGCGGATAAGAAAGTGTAGTTCTTCCCAATCCAGCAGTCCTGAACTCCAGCAGGAGCTAATCAGCATCACTCCACTACACGTGATAGGTGTAACTCTCAGATGGAGCTGGATTCCTAAAAGCTCTTAGGATTGAACGGGAGAGATGCAGAGACACCCACAATGGGATATCTGATCTCCCAGTGGGCAGGACACTGATCAAGGCGGTGATAGGTGTAACTCTCAGATGGAGCTGGATTCCTAAAAGCTCTTAGGATTGAACAGGAGAGATGCAGAGAGACCCACAATGGGATAGCTGATGTCCCAGTGGGCAGGACACTGATCGAGGCGAAGGCAGATCCTTGTTTAAGTGCTTTCTTCTCACTTGGCACTTAAACCAGGTTCTCCCACATTCCTGAGGAGAACCCCAACTTCTGTTGTATTACGTAGGAGAAACACCTTTCTCCTAGTTCTTTCTCCTGCTCTGTTTCTTGTAGCTCCCTTCCCCAACTGTGGTTTCATAGTTCTCAGAGATCTGATCTACACTCCAAGGGATGGTCAAAGTAAGATACGTAACTCCAGCTTCGTAAATTACATAGCTGGATTCGATGTATGTGAAATCCCCGTCCACACAGCTGGAGGTTGACAGGAGTAAATGCTCCCGTCAATTTCCCTAACCCCTTGAAAGAAGGAGATTGGTGCTAACATAGGTGCCCTTTGAGTTCGATCTACCAGGTCTATACACTGGATTCGATGTATGTGAAATCCCCGTCCACACAGCTGGAGGTTGACAGGAGTAAATGCTCCCATCAATTTCCCTAACCCCTTGAAAGAAGGAGATTGGTGCTAACATAGGTACCCTTTGAGTTCGATCTACAAGGTCTATACAACACCCACTAAATTGAACCCTGGAAGATCGACACTGCTGCAGTCCATCTTTTGTGTAGTGTAGACGTGTCCAGAGAGAATTCCAAGAAAATGGGGCAAGCAAAACTCCATGCAGCATTAACTGTGTCATACTGTCTTCTGATTTCTCCCTTTCACAATATCACCTACCATTCTGGTAGTTTTTTGACCGCTGCTGCATATCGGGTGAATGTTTTGCCACAATAACTCTGAGACCTCTTCCTTAAGTTGTAAAACCCAATTTAGAGCCATCCTGTTGTACAGCCAGTTGGGAGGATGTCTTCCAAAGTGCTTTGCATTGAGTTTTGCAACCGCAATTTTCATTTCTCCTTTTGTTGCCCTGTGAACCCACTTTGGTGGGATCTTTTTGTAGCTCTGCACAATCAGCTTTGGACTTAGTACTCAAGATGGGAGTGTACTCAAGAGAACAAACATCCATTCTGGGTACCCCACTGGATTAAAAAAATGCTATATTAGGTGTGGAAAAGGTGCAGAGGAAGGCAAATAAGGAAAAAACATCAGGGTATGAAAGAGCTTGTGTTAAGAAAGACTAAAAAGATTAGTGCTTTACATCAGGCAAAAGGGATGAGTAAGAGGAAGAGAGGTCTAAGGAGTCATGAATGGTGTGGAGAAAGTGAATCGGGATGTACTATTTACCCCTCCCCATAGCATAGCATGAAAAGGCAGTAGGTGTAAAATAAAAAAAGGAAGTACTTCTTTACACGATGGGTGGTCAACCATCAGAAGTCGTTATGAGAGGATGTGATGAAGGACAGAATTGTAACTGATTTCCAACAAGAATTAGAGAAGTTGTTGGAGGATTGGTCCATCAGCGGCTATTAGCCAAGATGGTCTAGGATACAACCCCATGCTCTGGATTTCCCCACATTTCTGACTGCCAGATGTGCAACAGGAGGACGACCCCTCAAAAAATCATTCTGTTCTCTTCCTTCCTTCTGAAACATCAGGCTCTGGCTACTGTTGGAAAATACAATACTGGGCTAGAGGGAGTGTTAGTCAGAACTAATATGGCTGGTCTTAGCTCGTGTCCTTAGTGAATTTGTATAGTCTGCTAACTTTGCCACCTCTCTGTTTTCCAATGTTTTTCCAATTCATAAGGGCACTTATGAATGTGTTGAAGACCACTGTGCCCAGGATGGAGAGGAGGGGCATTTGCCTGTTTACCTCACCCCACTATGACTACCGACCTTCTATGCTTCCTGTCTTCTAATGGGTCACTAATCCATGCAAGGACCTTCCGCCTTATTTCATGGCTGCTTACTTTCAGAAAGCCATTGCGAAGTCCACCAGAGGCTCTTCTGCAAAATCCAAGAACATTATCTCCAGTGCGTCTCCTTGCCCACAAATTGGCTGAGCCCTTCAAAGAGTTCTAATCAATTGGTGAGGCATGATTCGCCTTTCACAGAACTGGTGTATTCTGTATATGGGGAAGGAAGGTCCTTCCAAAAGGAGATCTAGTTGGGCTTTCAAGACACAAAGGGTATGTCTACTCTACCCCGCTAGTTCGAACTAGCGGGGGTAATGTAGTCATCTGCAGTTGCAAATGAAGCCGGCCGGCGCCATTTTTAAATGCCGGCTAGTTCGAATTCCGTGCCGCGCGGCTACACGCGGCATTGAGTAGCTAGTTTGGATTAGGCTTCCTAATCCGAACTAGCTGTACTCCTCATTCCACGAGGAGTGAAATGGAATGAGGAGTACAGCTCGTTCGGATTAGGAAGCCTAATCCGAACTAGCTACTCCGTGCCGCGTGTAGCCGCACGGCACGGGGTTCGAACTAGCCGGGATTTAAAAATGGCGGCGCCCGGCTTATGCAAATGAAGCCCGGGAAATTCAAATCCCAGGCTTCATTTGCAAGTGCAGTATGCATACATTACCCCGCTAGTTCAAACTAGGAGGGTAGTGTAGACATACCCTAAGATCCAGATAACTGAGCAGAGTGAAAACAACGGGATCACAGTAGATCCACCTTAGTATAATACTTTGCATTTATAATGGGCACTAGGGGCAGCAGAGGGCGGGGTGGGTTAACGGGGTAGTGTAGACATACCCAAAGTTAGCAAACGCAAAGGGGACTGAATGTAAATGTAATCAATGGTTGGCAAATGGAAGCTTGGAATGTAAAGGAGCTCTCAAACTCGCACACAGATACACAAACCCCAGTAGAAATATATACAGTCGCTCCCTGAGTTGCAAAAGGTCAAGTTACGACTGTTCACACTTATGACCAAAGCTCCCATGGAGTGGTCATAAAGGCGGTCCCAAGTTATGAATGCAACCCGTGCTTACAACGAGCGCGGTCGCATGTAACTCAATGGAGTCCAAGTTACGAACGGATTGAGCTACGGCCACGTGTTTGGTCCATAACTCGTTCGTAACTCGGGGAAAGTCTGTATCCCCAAGGACTTAGATTCAGTTATGCTTCTCCAGAGGCAAGAGACTACTTTTGAAAAAGTTCCTGACCATAAATAATCACATCAAAGTCCTTGGCGCTGTGTTCCCCATTGGAGGACTATGCCGTGGAGTTTTTAGCCACTAGAAACTGGACTTGCTGGAAGCTAGCACCCATGAGACTTGGCAATGGGTATAGTTATAATAGGAAAGACATAGATTATGTAGGGTTTGGAAGGGAAGAAGGGATTACTTGCATCATTGGCCATGTCTAGACTACACAGCAAAGTCAGAAAGAGGATTTTCCGACATTTGCCCTTCAACATGGAGCCAAATGTTGGGGAAAAAGCCTCTTTCAGAATATCCCCTCTTCCTCATAGAACGAGATTTACAGGGATGTCAAAAAAACGTGTCTGCTTTTCTGAATTTTTTTCCCCTAGTGCCCATTATACAGTATAGCCGCCCCTTCCCCACCCCGCCCTCTGCTGCCTCTAGTGCCCATTATACAGTATAGCTTCCCGTTCTACACCCCTACTCTCTGCTGCCCCTAGTGCCCATTATACAGTATAGTTGCCCTCTCTTGTCCCATAGTTTCTCATGCTAGTGCCTATTATACAGAGGAAAAATAAGATCTAGGCACCAGTAGTAGTAGAAATCACACTGCTGTGTTAGTTGCCTTCCCAAAGCATCAAGTGTTCACTTGTATTTCATTGCATTCTCATTGTAATTTTCAAGCTTTCTTAGCTCTTTGATCTCAGGTGTTCTCAACTCATTGCGTTGCGTGCATCCTAATCCCCATCCTCAATAAAAAAGACTAATATTTGCTCCATTTATTGCATCCCTTGTCTTTTTCCATTATTTGTTTTTCTTCTGGAGGCAAAAGGTAAGAATTGTCATAACACGCGTGAACCCGCTGAACACACACTACAAAATGGTCCAGGAAGAACAGAAGAATGGCTGTAGGTCAGACGAAAGGTCCATCCAGCTCCGCATCCTGTCTTCCAAGAGCATCCAATACCAGGTGCCCCAGAGGGAGTGAACAGAACAGGGACCCATCAAGTGATCCCTCCCCTGTCCTCTATTCCCAGCCTCTGACAAACAGATGCTAAGGACACCATCTCTGCCCATCCTGGCTAAAAATCATTACATTGCAAATTAAATGTTGAAACTTATTTTGAAGGGTATGGAACATGTTAGACTCTCATGTCTCATTTTCCAGTGCAAAAACCGAGATTGGCATAGGAAGTCTGGAGATCGTGGAGGTAATACATGTTTAAATTCTAGGGCACCGGTTTGAAGGAATTGTTGCTTTTTTGTTCAGGTGAGACGCCTGTACGGCATGCTTAAAGGCATGGGAAAAACCAATCAATGGACAAAGCAAAGAAAAAAAGCAAATCTCAGCACACAGTCAGTAGACCCATTGGATGATACTTGGGACAATTTAAATATCACAGAAAGAGAAAAACTCTCTGAGGCGGAACCATGTTTGTCTGTAACTTTAAAAACAATGAACAGTCCAGTGGCACCTTAACCCTGATCCACAGTGGGGCTTTATTTCAAAATAACCCCCCGCAGGTTGAATTATAAGTGGAATGTCCACACTAGTTGAGATTGGTCCTGCCTTGGGCAGGGGGCTGGACTTGATGACCTCCTGAGAACTCTTCCAGCTCTATGATTCTATGACTACCAACCCTGTTATTTCTAAATAATGGACCTTTAATTTTGAAATCTGTACTCCTGTTTTTCTCAGGGTATGCCTACACTACAGGACAAGGTTGAATTATGATACGCAACTTCAGTGACGTGATTTGCCCTTGAATAATATCCACCCTTTTTCCTTGGCTATGTCTAGACTGCAAGCCTCTTTCGAAAGAGAGCGTCTAGACTGCACGCGGAATTTCGAAAAAGCAAGCCGCTTTTTCGAAAGAAAGCATCCAGTGAGTCTGGATGCTCTCTTTCTAAAAAGCCTGTTTGCTTTCAAGAACGCCTTCTTTCGAAAGAGCACTTTTGAAAGAAGGCATTCTTCCTCGTGGAATTAGGTTTACCACCGTCGAAAGAAAAGCCGCATTCTTTCGATTTAATTTCGAAAGAACGCGGCTGCAGTTTAGACGCAGGTGAAGTTTTTTCGAAAAAAGGCTACTTTTTTCGAAAAAACCCCTGAGTCTGGACACAGCCCTTGTGCTTTTATGGTGTTTGAGTCTGTATGTGTGTGTTCCTCCTCTCGAGACATTTTTAGCCAGTTTTATTTCCCTGGGGGGAGGGGGGGGTCTCGTATTTTAAATTGGAGACATTTTTAGCCAGTTTTATTTCCCTGGGGGGGGGGGTCTCGTATTTTAAATTATAATATATATTTGTATTGTGTTTAAAATATTCAAGGTGGCTTACAAAAATTTTAAAATAGAGAGGTGGGGTAAAATATTTTAAATAAATAAATTGTGTTGCTGAAGTCGAAGTACCTTAACTTGACTTTTGGCGCTGCCAACACAGCAGGAAGTTGAAGTGCACACCCTACCCGCGTGGACCGGTGTGCCCTTCTCAGCTCAAATTAGCGTCTCTTCACTAGACTGCTAGTTTGAACCCAGGAAGATCGACAGCGGTAGTTGCAATCTTCTCTGTAGTGTTGATGTACCCTTGAGGAATAATGCTAATTTCAAAATAGTTATTTTGAAATAATTATAGTACGGACATTCTGATGCTGCTATTTCGAAATAACGACTCCCCAGAGTAATTTGAATGAATTACTCTCCAGTGCCTACTGGGGCTTTAAGTCTGAGGTAATGCATTCACATTAACGGAGACTGCCTCAGACTAATTTCGAAGCTTCCCCATACTGTGGACATGCTAGTTCAAATCTGGAGTTAAGTCAAATTTACTAATTTTGAAATAATTTCCTAGTGTAGACATGGCCTTAGACCAGTGTTTCCCAATTTTATTTGGCCACAGAACCCTTTTATATGTAAAAGAATATTGTGGAACCCCTAATAACAGTCTAATATAGAGAGCTGAAAAAATAGACTACAAATAAATAAGGATAATAATAAACAAATGCTAAACAAGGTCATGAGATAAACATTTAATTTAATTGCACATATTTAAAAACAAAAATCACATAATATTAATTTTTTTAATCATAGTGTTATTCTAATGGAATTTTCTCACGGAACTATTATTTTCACTTCGCGGAATCCCGGGGTTTCATGGAACACCATTTGGGAAACACTGCCTTAGAAACTAACAAAAATTTGTAAGATCATGAGCTTTTGTGGGTAAAATCCACTTCATCAAATGAAGTAGGTTTTACCCACAAAAGTTCATGATCCCATGTACTATTTTAGTCTCTGAGGATATGTCTAGATTACATGCCTCTGCCGACAGAGGCATGTAAAAGAGGTTACCCAACATAGTCAATGAAGCAGGGATTTAAATATCCCCCTTCATTAAAATAAAAATGGCCACCATGCTGTGCCGGCTCAGCTGATCATCAGCAAAGCATGCGAGTCAAGATGCAGATCGGTCAACGAGGGAAGCCTTTGTGAAACGAGGTTTACAGGAGCGGTCAACAAAGCCTTCCCTTGTTGACCGATCCACATCTTGACTTGCGCGCTGTACCGACGATCAGCTGGGCCGGCACAGCGTGGTGGCCATTTTTATTTTAATGAAGAGGGATATTTAAATCCCCGCTTCATTGATTATGTCGGGTAGCCTATTTTACATGCCTCTGTCGATAGAAGCACGTAATCTAGACTTACCCTAAGGCGCCACAAGACTACGCTTTGTTTTACAGAAAAAGAAGTCCACTGAAAACCACTTTGGTTGTGTCTACACTACAGCGATTGTGTCTGTACAGTTATGCTGATGTAGCTAAATTGGCACAACACCCCAGTGGAGAAAATGTTACAGCAATCGAAGGAGTTTTTCACACCAACTCCTAGAATCAGCTGCATTGAATGGAAGCATATTTTCTATTGGCAAAACAGTGTCTATGCTGGGGATTGGGTTGGCATGCCTGTGAGCCAAGACAATATGTCCACCTGGCTTCTAAATCCAGACCAAGTCCTAGGCACTTTTGAATATTTCACCCATGTCATACAAGTTCAAAGGAAGGTCCTGTTCATAAGAGAGCAGAGGTCAAATTAACCCATCTCCTATTTGTGCAGAAGAGTCTTCTATGGGCCAGTTTTCCAAGGTGTTTATGCAGCAAAAGATACAGTTAGGTGCCTACCTGGATCTGTAAAGTTCCTAAGCAGGTTAAATTCTTACTTCACATGGACACCTGCTTAGAAATTCCCACTAGACTCTTTTCTGCATCTTTAGGCAGCTAAACATCCTAAAACATCTTTGGCTTTTAATGCAACCATAGGTAGAAGGAACAGCCTGGAATTGGTTGAAGGCTTGTTGGTGGAGTGAGCAATGTAGGACGAATTTCCACTGCTAACAACAACCTGGTCTGAGGAAAGGAGAAAGAGGAAGAGGAAGGTGAATGTGAAAATAATGTGGGAGGTGAGGAGTGGATGAAATTGTGTGAGAAAAAGAAAAGGAAGGGAGAGAAAGAGGGTGGGATGGAGGGACATTGAGGGCACATCTACACTACACAGAAGATCAACGCAGCTGTAGTCGATCTTCCAGGGTTCAATTTAGTGGGTCTAGTCTAGACCTGCTAGATCGAACTCAACGTATGTCCCCGTCACGGTTGGTACTTCACCTTGTGAGGAGTAAGGGAAGCCAATGGGAGTGTTTGCTCCTAGCAGCCTTCCCTGATATGGACAGCCTGGAAATGCAGCATGAGGCATGCCAACTCCAGCTACGTAATTTACATCGCTCGAGTTGAAAGCCAATGGGAGTGTTTGCTCCTAGCACCCTTCCCCGATATGGACAGCCTGGAAATGCAACATGAGACATGCCAACTCCAGCTATGTAATTTACATCGCTCGAGTTGCATATCTTCTTTTGACCTTCCCGTGTAGTGTAGACCAAGCCTGAAAGAGTAGGGGAAGATGGTGGAGAAAAGACAGAGCAAGTGAAGAGGGGATTTTGGAATGGTGGGCGAGAAGAAAGAATGGAGAAAAGAAAAAGATCCCAATGGGAGGAGGATGTTAAAAGTTGTAGCCACAACCTGCGCCCAGATCCCTCACGGCAGTAAGAAGAGTCAGCCTTAAACCTAAGGGAGTGTTGGAGCAGTCAGAGCATTTGCTTTGAGTTCCTTTTATTTCTCTTCCTTGCCAGTTAGCTCCTGCCTCTCCGCCTCCAGCCATCCGATCAAATTATTTTCATTTTCCTGCCAGCGAAAGGCAGTTCGCTCAACTGGTGCCATTCCGGGCGAACGGCGTAAATTTGCTGGCTGCTTTCTTCAGGGCCTCCTTCACTTCCTTGTTCCTCAGGCTGTAGATGAGAGGGTTGACCAGCGGGGTTAGGATCGTGTAGCTGACAGAGAGCGCGAGGTGGAAGACCCTCAGTTGGTTGGTTTTGGGCAACATATACACGGTCATGAGGGTGAGATAGAAAATGGTCACCACAATGAGGTGGGAAGAGCAGGTGGAAAAGGCCTTCTGCCTTCCGGAGACCGACGGCATTCTCAGGATGGTGACGAGGATAAAAATATACGATACCACGGTCAGTAGGAAGGGCGGCAAAGTGAATGCAAAGGCCAAGATGGAATCCAGGAGCACAACAAGGCTGTTTTCACTGCAGGAGAGTTTGATGATGGGGGTGAAATCACAAAAGAAATGGTCGATTTCGTTGGGGCCGCAGAACACAAGCTGGAACATTAAATAGACGACGGTACTGCAAGCCAGTGAGCCGAGTATCCAAGACCCAGCTGCGAGCTGGAGGATGAACCTACCGCTCATAAGGGCTGCGTAATGCAGAGGTTTACATATGGCTAAATACCGGTCGTAGGACATGGCAGCCAGCAGGTAACATTCGGTAGCTGCCAAAGAACAAAAGAAGTAAAACTGGACAATGCAGCCTCTCACGGAGATGGCTCTGTCCCCGCTCAGGAGACTGGCCAGCAGCCGGGGCAGGACGGTGGAGCTGTAGCAGGGCTCCAAGCAGGAGAGGTTGCCCAGGAAGAAGTACATGGGGGTGTGAAGGTGCCGATCGGCCACCACCAGTGCGATGATGAGGAGGTTCCCAGACACGGTCACTATGTAGATGGCTAGGAACAGCAGGAAGAGAAGGGGCTGCAGTTCAGGGAGATTCCTGAATCCAAGAAGGATGAATTCGGTGACCAACGTTTGATTGCTCCAGCTTGTATCCGCCATGTGACTTATCTAGGGAACACGGAGGAAAAAAAAGCTGATGTCTTTTGCTCTTTGAAAATGCGAGGAGAGTTTCTTTAGACTCCCAAGATTAACTTGTTCCATCACAGTTTTTCAAATCTTTTCTTTTTAGTTGATGGGCGCCCGAGCTAAAACAGATTAGGGTGCCTTATCCCCATGCAAGGTTTGGAAAATCTCAGGACACAGAGATGGCATTACCACTGGGGTGTTACTGGAGGACAACCTGGATGGAGAACGCAGCCCAAGGAGATACGTTACCTGAAGCAAATTTTCTATCATCAGGTTATGCAGAATGTCAGTCTCTGAAAACTGTGATGCCATGGGAAATTGGAGAAGGGTCCAGATACCACTGTGATGATAATGCAGAAGATAGATAGATAGATAGATAGATAGATAGATAGATAGATAGATAGATAGATAGATAGATAGATAGATAGATAGATAGATAGATAGATAGATAGATAGATAGATAGATAGATAGATAGATAGATAGATAGATAGATAGATAGATAGATAGATAGATAGATAGATAGATAGATAGATAGATAGATAGATAGATAGATAGATAGATAGATAGATAGATAGATAGATAGATAGATAGATAGATAGATAGATAGATAGATAGATAGATAGATAGATAGATAGATAGATAGATAGATAGATAGATAGATAGATAGATAGATAGATAGATAGATAGATAGATAGATAGATAGATAGATAGATAGATAGATAGATAGATAGATAGATAGATAGATAGATAGATAGATAGATAGATAGATAGATAGATAGATAGATAGATAGATAGATAGATAGATAGATAGATAGATAGATAGATAGATAGATAGATAGATAGATAGATAGATAGATAGATAGATAGATAGATAGATAGATAGATAGATAGATAGATAGATAGATAGATAGATAGATAGATAGATAGATAGATAGAGGGGGTGTGTGGGGATAAAAAGAAAGACAGATAGATAGAGACAGATTGACAGGACAGAGAGTGTGTGTGTGGGGATAGACAGACAGACAGACTACCGCTGTCAGATAGACAGATCTATCTATCTATCTATCTATCTATCTATCTATCTATCTATCCCCACACACACCCTCGATTGATCTATCTATCTTGCCAGACAGACAGAGGGGAAGTGTGGGGATAGATAGATAGATAGATAGATAGATAGATAGATAGATAGATAGATAGATAGATAGATAGATAGATAGGGCAAGAGAGGCTATTTTTAGCAGGTATGCAAGTAACTAAGCTGACAAATGTTCACATTTTCTCTATTCCGCTTCCTGACTTACCAGATCAGAACAATGATTGGTTTCCGGTTTACATAGTCAGTGCCCCTCCAGTTTAATCCTGACAGTTACAGTATTGGGCATTTTATAGGGAAGACAGAGGAAACAAATTACCAGTTGCAAAATATTAATGAGAATCACTCAACAGAAACTCATCCGTGCCATGCAAATAGTCCAGAAAATTGTGGAAGCCTTTATTATTATCCCAACTGCCAAATCAGAAAATATTGTGATTGCTCGACTATCCACCCTGTCTAATGGGGTACCGGATAGCCGTCTACAAATGGCATTTAACATGGATCAAGCCAAGAGCTAACGTGAATAATAGCATTTATTGTCCTGCAAACACCTCTCTTTCCGAGCTATTTATCTGAGGCGTATTGAGGTAGGAAAAGGCAGTTCTAGCTAAAAACAGAGCTAGAAAAATGGCAAGAGCTGGCAGCCTCATTGCGGAAGAGTTTAAAGGCACAGATGGCTCTCACTAATGCAATAAAGCTTCAGGGGATGAGCCAAGTTAGTCTTTTAAAATGCTACTAGACTATTTGCTGTGTTTTAAGTTTATCCTGTCACAGACGAAAGAAAGCTCATGATACCATCAACATGTTTTGTTAAAGTGCTAGCAGACTATTTCTTGTGTTTTACGTTTGTTCCTAATACAATACAGTCATCTTCACCCTTAACAATGAATAATGCCTTGCCCCTTTAAGATTCCCACAGCTGGGATTACCAGTGTGGTCCCTAACACTCCCCAGGATGGTCTAAAGTCTGTTCCCGTGCTAAGTGGTAAAATCCTGCATCAGAGAGGATGGATTAGGTCAGTGTTTCTCAACCAGGGGTACGAGTATCCTTAGGTGTACTCGAGAGATGTCTGGGTGGTACGTCAACCCAACTGACATTTGGAGAAAACGTAACTTTTGTTTTACGTTTTACAGTGCTTTATTATTTTTGTACTTTGAACAACTTAATCATAGCCGGGCGGGTGATGACATTTTTGGGTGTAAAAACAAATTGTAGACAAAATATTGTGTCTGAAAACTGTAGGTATGGGGGGGTACTTACAATTTTTTTTAAAGGGGTACTTTATTAATAAAGGTTGAGAAACACTTGACTATGTGACTAGGAGGGTCTGTCCCGTCCCCAAAGCTGATCAAGACAATACGATTACCTCTGAGGCAGTTCCGTTACCAGCCGGCCGGTCCAATGTGACTGCTTCCTTCAGCGCTGGCAGGGCTGGGTTCGGAGCGCTGCACCCCATTTCTCCATCTCTAGCACCTTCATGGGCCTCTCTCCAGACGTGAACATCATCTGCACATCTGCTGGCAAACCTGCTCTGCTTCATAAGAGGCCCCCTGCATTGAATCCAGCAGCACCAAAAAGCAACCGTCTCTACGGCTTCATTATTTAACTTTTTTTGAGAGACGGTGACATCTCTCTTGGCAATTCTGCAGAGGGGAATGTCAATTACTGAGGAAGAAAAAAAAATAAAGTTGAAGCACTTGGAATGGGTTACGTAGGGAGGGGGTGGAATCTCCATCCCTAGAGGTGTTTAAGTCCCGGCTTGACAAAGTCCTGGCTAAGATGATTGAGTTGGGGTTGGTCCTGCTTTGGGCAGGGGGTTGGACTCAATGACCTTGTGAGTTCTCTTCCAACCCTATGATTTTATCATTCCAAAGTTAGGTTTATATTCCACAAGGACATAATTAGGAGATGGTCCAGGCGTTGCCACAAAACTTATGTCAGGTAGAGTTTGTGAGCCACATCTATCTGCCTATCTAATGTATTTATGGCTTTGATAGGACAGCATCTGAGTTCCTCACCGTTTGAATGTATCTGTCCTTTCAACACTCTGTTCAGGTAGGAAAATGCTATTCCTCCTGTTTTATGGCTGGAGACGAAGGCACACTGAGACGAAGGGCCAGCTGCTTTTGTTTTTTTAAGACTTACATAGGATTTTTTTTTAAACAAACTGGCACTAAGATTTAGATTTTTACAAGTATATCCTTGTCTGGGATGATTTTCAAAGTGTAAAATAAAAAAGAGACTCTGAGACATGTGTCCAGGTATAGAAGGCCTGGAATGAGGCTTGAGACATGAGGCCGGGTATAAAAGACCCAGAATGAAGCCCAAGACATGAGGTTGGGTAAAAAAGGCCAGATGGGGTTGCCCGGTGTCCCGTTTTGAACCAGACAGTCCAGTATTTGAGCTTTCTGTTCAGGAAACAAATTAAGAAAATAGAAATGTCCAATATTTTCTAAATAAGATGTATGTAGATTGTGATGTACTGTCAAGTGTGTCCAGTATTTTTGTTGAAACCATCTGGCAGCCGTAGGCCCAGAATGAGACCCGAGACGTGAGGCGGGTATAAAAGGCCAGGAATGAGGCCCAAGACATGAGGTCGAGTATAAAAGTCCCGGAATGAGGCCGGAGATGTGCGGCTGGGTATCAAAGGCCTAGAATGAGGCCTTAGATGTGAGGCTGGATATAAAAGGCCTGGAATGAGGCCGGAGACATGAGGCCGGGTATAAAAGGCCAGGAATGAGGCCTTAGATGTTAGGTTGGGTATCAAAGGCCTGGAATGAGGCCCAAGATATGAAGCCGGGTATAAAAGGCCCAGAATGGGGCCGGAGACGTGAGGCCGGGTATAAAAGGCCCAGAATGAGGCCGGAGACGTGACGTTGGGTATCAAAGGCCTGGAATGAGGCCTGATGCCCTGATCTAAAGTAGTGGCCACTCCTTGCTGGTATAGAGCAACGTGAGCAGAAATCAGGCCCAGCTAGAAAACAGGCCTGTTTGCAAGCTCACAGAGCCTGCCAAGAACATGGCTGGTATCTGTGTTTCTACAAAATCCCCTCAGGAGAGTCAAATGCCACCCAGATGACTAGCAGAGATGATACAGCGAGGCTCGTTGTTTCTATGGGTGGTGCACATTCTCACAAGCCTTGGCACACACAAAAAAATTTATTCGGCACATGGATGGGAAAGGTTAGAGGGATCATCGGCGGGTATTGCAAACACACACCTGTTTCTTAGCAGTGCTCGGCAGAGGACACTGGGGCAAATCCATGAGGGGTGGAACCAAAAGACCCCCCGTTATCAAGTATGGCGGAAACACGCTGCCCTAGGATGGCATGAACAAGCCGACCCCTCCTCAAGATAAGGTGGAACTAACATCCAGAGGGTAGAGGGTGGCGATTAGCTACGTCACGGGGCAATTCGGAATTATCATCGAATTATCGTCTTGGAGCTTGGGGAGCGTGACGAGTGACATCAGGCAGGACTCTAACACAGTCTGGCTCCCTTCGGGGCTGTACTCATGCCAGAGAAGGAGCCAGCTCAGTTTCCCTGGGCCTGACTTCGGAGCCTTCAGCACCCCTATTCACCCTATGAGTTCCCCACAAGGAAGCAACACGCATCCTCCAAAGGGATCATGCCCCTGGACTTCCGCAGTCAGTGCAGAGCAGAGCTTGTTAGCACAGATTTAAGGAACGTTCAGGAAATGCACCTTGGGGAAGAGGAATCCAGAGGCCAGGGTCTTGGCCAATGTTCCCTCTAATTATTTTTGCCAACCATGCGTGGAATAAATTTTGTTCTGTGCACCCAGGGTTGTGCATGCTACTTTCTGCCGGCGCTCTGCTAATCAGCTGAGTGGTGTTTGAATCTCTCGAAGTGCT